TATTTCAAGCAAAACCGTGTGACTACCCAGTTATAGAAAACGGTGAAGTAAGCGAAGCCCTACGGCTAAACGCACACATATATTTTCCCATGGGGATTGGGCAGCAAGTTGATTACCACTGTCATGATGGTTACTCAACCCCAAGTGGAGAAACCTGGGTTCGAATCAGATGTTCTGCCTGGGGCTGGCGGCCAGAGCCAGAATGCCACAGTAAGTACATTTCTGCCATATGCTTAATTCTCATATAATTGTGAAGGTCTATGCAGCAAAAGCTGAGCTGATGGAGTACAGAGTCTTCTTTTTCTCTCTCTTGTGAGAAACGTCATTCCCAGTCTGGCAAAGATGTGCGAAAACTCGTGACTGTTGGTTAGCCTACACTGAGAGTTGCCTGCTTCAGTACTTGTGCTATTACCTCTAGAAATCCTTAAGGCAGAACTACATACATAATAGTGTGTGGTTCCTGGCCTCTGCATGCATGAGTAAGAGCCAACAGAGATTATTGTCTTGGTGGGTCCTGCCTTAGAACTATGCAGCCTTGCTTGTTGTACCTGCTGGTGCAATAGGAGAGAAATGTGGTTTACTGGACTGCTTGTGCAGTCCCTTGCACTCCTCTTCCTGTGATTGTTCATCTCAGGGTGATGAAAGAGAACAAGAACAAAAGAACATTTGGGTTGAATGTCTTTGGGGAGGGTGGAATGATGCAGAAAGGTGTCAGGAGGACCCTTTCTTCAGTAACTGCTTTCCTAGGGATTAATTTTCCTCAATCTTAGCTCTGCGCATTATGGTGGTTAAACATGCTTACCTTTTCTCTTTAGAAATATGTCGTGTGACACAGTTGGAAAATGGCGCTTTCCTATCTAGACGGAAGTATGTTTATAAAGAAAACGAAAGAACTAAATATTCCTGCGATGCTGACTATGCCCCAGAAAATAAACATGGTCAAGTTACATGCACAAAGAATGACTGGTCACCTCCTCCAAGATGTATCCGCAAGAGTGAGTAGTGCTTCTGTCTTGTCAAGGTCCCAGCTAAAAGCAATCAATGCATCATTGCATCAGCCACATTAACTTCTGACCAGGGGTTAAGATGAGTCTAATTCCAGGTGCTGTGGCACTCAAAATGCTCACAGCTGACTGGCCAGGTGCTTTTGAGGGCAGTGGCTGTAGGAGCTTGCAGCACGTAGCTCTGTAAGAAATACTCTCCCGTGACTTATTCTCCTCTCCAGAGTGTGAACTCTGGGATGGGAGTGGTGTCCCCTCTGCCTCCAGTAGTGACACCCTGAATACCCCAGTAGTGGAGTAGTAAATATGAGGTATGCAGGAAGTCTGAGTATGTAGTAAATAGTAATCATTCTCTTTCTGTCTGAAATTTCTATTCTAATTCTACTCTATTCTAATTATAATCTGAATTTCTATTCTAGCCCGAGACACACCTGTCAGAGAATGATTTGGACTGCCACAGAGCATTTGATAGAGTCATGGGCAAGCAAAATAAAGCTTTATTGTTTACCATGTTACATCATAGCAGACATCCCTGATATGAATGCCAATTCAAAATCACATGTGAGAATTAAAATCCTGCACTCACTGCACAAAAGTATCATTACCTCTAACCCAACGTGCAAATACACCTTCTCGTCTTCCTCAAGTCTTAGCTTTTCAGTATCTTTACTTATCTGACTCTCTAATGCACAAATATTGCTATTTGTTATATTAATTCCCTGAAAGGAAGACATTCCACTAAAGAATGGCTTAATAGTAAAGAACATACTGCAGAAATTTTCTACCAGAGCGCAAGATGATAACATCTGACCAGAGTGATTGATTTCCATTCTGTTGCATTGGCTCAAATGAGGCAGCCCAAATGACATGAAGTCATGTGCAACACTGAGTGCACCAACACTAGTGATTTGGTGCACAACAAGGGCTCCCTTCCCACACATCTGCTGCAGTCCAGCTGGAAGTGCTGCAGAGCCCCACTGGATTATTCTGGAAGGTTTCTCCATGGTAGACCAAGGCTGTATCTGTGACCTCCGCAGTGCCTCACTTGCCGTATGGACACAAGTCCCTCCAGCACTTAGGTCTCCATGTGAGCCCAACATAGTACAGGCCTAGCCCACATGCCAACAGAGTTCAGATGTGTCTTGGAAGCCGAAGAGATGCTGCAAATCAAACCTTGGTCCTGTCAGTCCCTGTTTGTAGAGTACTGGTTGTTAAGTGAACTCTTCAGCTCAGTGCAGAGGCAGATATTTGTGTCCTCTGAAAATTGCTTTTAACCCTTCACCTGTTTCCTTTTGTTCTCTTTCATATGTGTGTTGTAAGCATATGGTTCAGCAGGTCAGCAGTGTTTATCTGGAGGAATTCCGTCTTTTTGCTTTAGATACGTGCCGGCTTTTGGAGTTTGACAATGGTTATTTCACCGTGAGAAAGGCAACGTATCAATTACAGGAGAAGGTAGCCTATAGGTGTCGTGATAACTACGTGACTGCAGAAAGGCAAGGAGCAGGACTGACAGTGTGTCAGGAGAATGGCTGGACACCTCCTCCCAAGTGCATCAGTGAGTAGCATACAGGCCTAGAGCTCTCTGTCATTGCCGCTGCCACAGACGAGATGTCCGATGTACTCGGGTTTTGCCCTCTGGATCTGTAGAGTTTCTCCCTCTGCTTCGTAGCGAGAAATTTGGGTAGAGGACTGAGCTGCTGGAGCCTGGTGTTTCTGAGGGTTAAAGAAATAAATGGAGAAAAGAAAAAGGGATTTGGGTAAACAGGGAAGATGTCCACCATCCTCTAGGCAAGCCATCTTTTTGGGCCCTCTCTTGTGTTAAGTAGATCATCACCGCCCGTACCCCCAGGCTATTTTACTTGCTCTAAGATGCATATGCCCGATTTTCCTCCAGTTCTGCCTTCTTATTTACTAGAAGTTTAGCACCTTTCACACAAGTGAAGAACAGATTTTGAAAGAAATGACCAGATACCTAGGGATAATATCAAGAACTCCTTTGTTTATAAGTGACCAAAGTTGTAAAAAAAAAAAAAATCCATTATTTGGAAAGATGTTGTCACTAAAAATAACAGAATAGACCCTGTATTTTCAAAGCACATCTGTGAAAAGCAGGAAGGTAGATATTCCTGGGAATAGCTTCCTAGTATGGTTGCCTTTCTCTTCTTCACAGTCTCTTCCTTTCCTGGACAGAGCTGTAGGATAGCAAAAGAAGAGATTTCCAGTGTTGTCATACAGTGATTCATAATAATGACCAGTCTATGCACATTAAAATGTTGGATTCAGAGGGCATTGCTTCTGATTGACAAAATGTACCAACTTATTTCAATTCTACAGGGCCCTGTAAAACACCTCTATATGAGAATTTAAATTACCACAGAAATAGACGTGTGTTTCTTCCTGGAGATACGCTTGAGTACACATGTGCAGATGGATATCAGACTGCAAATAACATGACAGCTGGTGCCACAAGATGTAACATAGATGGTGAATGGATTCCAGAGCCCCAGTGTCTTGGTAAAGATTTCTGTGTCTTTGCTTGTATAAGTGTGTAGCATACATTTTGTGAGGCTTTTTTTGATTTGAGATTTTATTTGGCTTTATTGTAGTCAGTAGTATTCCACATACTTTTGTAATTTTTATGCTGTATGTTAAAGTCTTTTTTTTTTTTTTCTTTCTCCATAGCAATAAAATGTGAAATGCCAATACTACCCAATGGAGATGTTTACCCCCAGACAGATATATATCAGAATGGAGCTGTTGTAGAATTTTCTTGTAGAGCAGATCACGTCAGAGTGGGACCTTTTTCTGCTCAGTGCTATTACTTTGGATGGTTTCCATCACCGCCAGTATGTAAAGGTAATTCTTCTCCTAACTTTATTTTAGTTGGAAATGGGTTAAACTGGTTGGGTCCGCAGCACTCTTGTGGGCAGCTTCTCTATATCAGTCTTACTCCCAAGAACAGTTACTCCAACCTCCTTTCTGTTGCTCTTCAGATACGTTCATAGTATTTTGCTGATTCCTGTGACAGGTTCTGAACATCTGAACTTTCACTGTTCCCTTTTCCACGTATCAAAATATTGAACATTTTTCCTGGGAGTCAGCCCAAATATTTTTTCCTTTTGATTTTATGATGTAAACTTTAGTTATCCCAACTGAAGTTCTGTGACAACTGACAATGAGTGGTAAATGTCTTGTACAAAATTTTACTCAGATCAGTCACTGTAATGTATAAAAACCCGTTATTCCAAAAGGGATAGACACTGACTAATCTAGCAGCCAGTAGTGATTTATCTCAGTAATATTCTTTCTTACTCTCTTCTGAATTTCTACCATTGCCTAGGATTGACACAATTGAAATGTTTTACACTATGTTCCTTTTTCTAATAGCAAAGTGTTTAAGAGGAAGTGTGTTTTGGAGATGACATAGGGCTGAACCCCAGCTGAAGTCAGTGAAGGGTTTTCTTATGAAGTGCCTCAATTTCGTCCTATAGAACGAACAATCCCTTGAAGAGAGGAAGACATCTGCCAATATTCTGCCCACTTTTTTTAGGGCAGAGTACCACTTTGGGACATCTGAAAACAGTTTATTCTCCTGATGCTGTAGACCTTCACCAAGAATTTGAGGGAATGATCAAATCTGATATTTCTCATCTCTCTTCCTTCCCACTTTGTCAGCTATATCATTCTTTTTGTTCTCACCTTTTGAGGGTTTATTTGCTCATCTCCTCTTGTTTCTAAAAGCAAGCACATTTCATATACTTGTGCCTTTAGCACAAGAACAGGAGTTCTTTTCACTCCATCAAAAGTGAATTTTCTAATATGCCATACATATCCCTTGCTGGATGATTTGCATAACTTATGTCAATATTTGCAGAATTTTCACTTTTGAAAAATCCTGTATTACAAGCATTTCCACATGTGTAACACTTCTCTTAAAACTGGGCTGATTTCACGTGCCACTTACTACAGGAAGTACTACATGTGAATAAGAGTAAACTGAGACAGGGTCACTCGTGTCTTTGATCCGCAGCAGAGCAGGTATCTGGATTTTCAGAGGCATAAATCAAAGGCCTGTTCAACCATTTTTATAATGTTAAACAGCAAATTCAGAGTTTGTTGTTGCTGCAGTTTACATATAATTGCACTGGAAGTACTGACTTCAGAGCATAGATCAGATCTCTTCATTTCAGTGCACCCCAAAGGCTGTTCACCTCCACCTGAGATTGTCAATGGAAGTATCCTCGGTGACTCTGAGGAACAGTATCGTCATGGGGACATAACAGAATACGAATGCAACGAGAACTTTAAAATGGTTGGATCAAAGGAAATCGAATGTGTTGATGGACAATGGTCATCTCGTCCCTCTTGCATTGGTAACTGTGTTACTTGTGAGAAATTTATATTTTGCATTAGATTGAAATAGTATACAATGAAAATCTGAAATATTATAAAATGAAATACAGAAAATAGTTAGGGGTGTTCTTATGGAGTAAGATGATCAAACAGCAGAATCAATACATATTGTTTTCCTTCCAGACTGATTTGCCCTGTCCTTCTACAAATCTCACTGCTGGCATCAATACTTTAATGATGTGGGTGCACAAAACCTACTTTTTGGATGCCCATTTAAAATAAGTGGCCCAAACTTGAGCGGAAAGTTGCTCAAATCCAATGTTTTGGTTTAACATGTGTCTTCTCTGTCCCTTGCAGAGAGCAGGCTATATGTCCTCTTTGCCCTTACATGCTTTTCTCTTCCCTCAAATGAACTACTGCCCTCTTACACCCAGTTGCAACCCTTTGCCATCATGACCACAGCAAGGCTGACCTAACCAAATTACATCTAATTATTTTTGCTTAAGTTCCGTCAGATATTCATTTATGGCACCAATATGATTGTGGAATGCTTCTCTCCCCTTTTTTTTTTTTTTTCTTCAACAGAAGATAAAACACCATGTGGATCACCTCCCTCTGGTCCCAATGTGATTCTCTATCCGCAAAAAGGAGCCCAGTTTTCTCATGATGCTGAAGTAATTTATAAATGTAAACAAGGCACAGAAAGTTATGGGCAGAAGAAAATAAAATGTCTTAACGGGGAATGGAAACCTTTACCTTTTTGTGGAGGTAATCTATTCCCATAGCATTTCTGTAAAATTTCAGAGATGGGTATAATGTAATTGCATTCAAAGTTGAAAAGAATTCACTAATCAATATGTATCCACAGACACTGTCATATTGCACTCCTCAACTCATTTTCTGATTCACCCTCTTTTAAGTATGATCATGTCCATGATCCTGGACTCGACACCTACTGAAAACTGAGTAGTTTTGTAAAAGGAAGTGGACCCTTTCAGAGTGGGTAGAATCAAATAGGGAGTTAAATCTTTGATGTACCAGGGATTTTCAAAGGGGCAAAAGCCCATTCCTGACCAATAAAGACCCTTTGGATAACTTGGGATGTGCAAGCAATAAAATAACAAACCTGTTTTGTTAGTTCATTGTAATTTGATATCTTCAAATACCACTTTGCTTCTTTCTAAGTCATAATGGGACTCAAAAACCATGGTCGTAGCCACAATGTGCTACGCTAGTCCAATGTTTTGGTGCTATCTCTGTGTGAATTAGGTCTTTTCATTTCTGATGTGTAGTTTTCACTTCTTTTTCAAATCATCCCATTTAGATTCACAGTATATAAATTACTAAAACTTTTTTTTTAATCTAAAACAAACCCTCTAGTGAAGTAAATAACAACAATTTGGATTGGGTCAAGGGTCAATAGACCATGTTATTCAGGAAGGAGTTTCAGCTGCGATAAATTACTCCATCACTTCCTTGTTTTTAACAGAATGTAACAGATAATGTGCCCTTCTCTTCATTTCCCCTATTTCAGAAGTGCTTTTCTATTCATTAGTGATTTCAATACTTTGTTCCTTTGTTTACAGTTACATTGAGGCACAGAGGACAGTCTGCTCGGCTTTGACAAGTAGTTTGTGTTATGAGTGTCAGAAGCACAAGCCCATGGCACAAGACCTGGTCATGACTTAGGAGAAGAATGCTTTGTTTTTTTATGACTGTGCAAAAGGGATTCTGTCAGCTAAAACAATTGCTCTTTGAGTGGAAACACTCTCTGCTTTAGATAACAGGAACAAAGAATCACTCGGTTCTCGTCATCTAGGAATCTTTGGAATTATTTCAGGCCACAGTAATTAATACAGTTTCACATGGACATGCATTATAATACTCATGGCCACTTCATCAGGAAATGCCTACTTACATAGTAGCCTCACTAAATCTATGTTTTATTGACTGTTTATGTTGGGTTATATTTAGATCCATCTCAGAAATGTGCATATCCATTGGATATTCAGATAGTGAAAGCTGAAGATGTTCCCTGGCCAAATAAGGAGACTGAAGTCCACGAAGTTATACAGTATACATGCAAACCAAATGGCAATAAGATTAAAAAAGCCACTTGTATATTTGGAAAATGGTCACCTGAGATCGAATGCTTTGGTAAGTTTTTAGCTTTGTGTATAATTTCTTCTTTTTCTGTAGGAATGCATAGTGCTAATTAGTAAAGCTTCATAGCATCATTGTACCACTAGTTTGAAATGCTTGAAATGCTTATATGCTTTTATGTGTGTGTGTGTGCATGTATATTTTGGGATAAATATATGAATATACACATGTATGGATGTATGTGTGCACACACATGTGTACACACACATATAGAAGAACATATATTTATATGTGTGCATACATATACATATATTTGTGTATGTATCCTTAACCAAGTATATAGTTAAGGACAGCTGTGTAATGAAGTGTTTTCTATGGAGTTTAGAGCATCTGAAGAGACAGCTCAGCTGTTTTTGAGGCAATACAAAATGATAGTGATATTAATTAAAGCTTGAGATAGCTGCTAAAAAATTACAAAATGCCACTGTTGTTAATGTTATAATTTGTGATGAACCATTACAATCTGTCTTATATTCTATTATCAAATGAATATGTGTCCTCAGCTGGGAAGCTGTGCCCACCTCCACCTCAACTGCCTGGTGCTCAGCAGATACCAGTTGAAAGAAATTACAAAAATGGGAGTAAAGTAACGTTTTCATGTCTGAAGAATTTTCAGCTTGATGGTGTGAATGAAATTACGTGTATAAATGGAAAATGGCAATCACCACCACGCTGTATTGGTCAGTAGTGCATTTTTTTATATACATGTTGTTAAAAATTTATGTTGCTATTAATTAGCAATCAACGCTATCAGGAGGATAAAGTTATAGTTTATAGTGTCAAGAGCACGTAAGTGCAGAAAAGCAATAGCGTGTAAATTGCTAAAGAAAGCACCAATGTCAAACAGGAAGTTTTCTAATTAACTAGACAGACCTATTTATCTAAGATGGCCTGTAAAACTTTCAGGTAGTCTCTCAGGAACTGTGTTGGATTTTTCCTTTAGTATATTGCAGAAGGGAGACACTGGGGGTCTTAAATAGCATCCTGGTGAAAATCTAGTTTTATTTATTATTTTGTAGTAGCAGGAGCAGGCAGGCTGCAGTTCTATATCTTTATCCTTTCCTACATTTTCTGGATTTCCCACCTTCTTCTGGCCTTTCCCTCTTATAGGAGTGTAAGTAATAACACATAACTCTGGTCACTTATTCTGAAGCATGCTGAGAATCCTTTTGGTAAAGCAATTGACAAAATATTACTGATGCAGATAATGTCTTGTTGGCAAAATTCCATTCAGAGGTGGTGGAAAGACTTCCAGAAATGAGAAGGAGATGGATAAGCAGAGGCCAAAGGAGGTACCAGCTGGTGACCGATACAGACAGATGCTGCACCTGTCTATATGTTTAAGCTGCAAAATCTTGATGCCACGCAGTTTCTCTTTCATAGATTTGGGGCTTCCATTTCTGCTAGTAAGGGGGAAGAATCATTTCAGAAATGTAAAATTGTTTGAACTATTCATAAAATAAATTTTAACAAAATAATATTCCCAACTCGTTTCTCTTCTTGCTGAGCCAGGACAATTTTGACATGAATGAGATCTTTTGCCGTGTGCAATTCAATGTAAACATATATTTTCAACTTAGTGTATCCATTGATAAAGCTGCATGTACAGATAACAAAAAATTGCAATACATGTAATAATTTAAATCTGCACACTCTGCTGTGATATAAGAGAAGAAAGTATTGGGAGATACTTTCCTGACTCAGGACATCTTGATAGGGATTCAGTCCAATGTAGTTATCAGGAAGAAGTATGTTATAATACTTCGAAAGCTCTTTCCTGTAGTATTTTCATCATGTCTTCAGAGAACCTCTCAGTCTCTTGGTGCAGCTTGACTAATGGTGGAAAGAAAAGTAGTTTGGTTACAATTCTAGAAACTGACTTTCCATATTCTGCAACAAGATAGTGTCTCCCCACTTCTCTGCCTATGAAAATTCCCCTGGTCATCATTAAAAAGGTTGTTATTGTGTCTCTAGTGTGAAAATGGCTCTAAACTGTTCCCCCTTCCCCCACTGCCCTGCATCCCCCCAAAAAAGAGGGAAAAGGCATACAGGAAGGAGAGGAATGGAGCTCTGTTGTTGTTCTCTATCTGAAATATTTCTTCTTCATCTTATTTTCAAATCACTTGAATTTTGTTTATTTTGGATTTTTTTCAGTTTTTGACTGTGTATGTCTTTGGAATATTAATTGTCTCTTACTACCGTTCATCTTTGTTTTTTGAATTTAAAGAAAGGCCATGTTTGCCACCACAATCTATAGAATGTGCTGAAGATCCCACGCTGGAAAATCCACGTTTAAGAGTGGAAAAAGAAGGGAAAATAACTTATCTGGCTGGTGCTAAATTTAAGTATGTTCCTCGTTCTGGATTCATATTAGATGGACAATCAGAGATAACTTGTTCTATGGGAACCTGGACTTCCTCTCCTACATGCACTGGTAATATCAAGCAACACTACTTTTTGAAGTGCACTTAGTAGTGAATTTGAAATTATTTTATTTTGGAGCCTGAATCGTAAAAGACAGTAGCTGCAGATTTCTCTGCACAATCTTATCATCCTTCAGGGGTGTGTCAAAGCAATCCTGATTAGTTACAAGATTGAAGGCAGTCTGTTGTTAGAGGAGAAAATTCCTTTAGTATTGTTGCACTCTTTGCTCAGGTTTAGTCTCTGTCATATAAACCATATAAGCAAGGGCTTATTATCCAAGGATTTGTTCCTCACAAAGTCCGTTAGTGACTGGGAATAGCATTGGTGCTTCTGTGATAGAAATGACTTTTGTGTGATTAGGCATAGAAGTCTTCATCAAAATGCCTTGACAGCAAGGAATGATGTACATGTCTAGAGGCAGATGATAATCTTTTCAGTGGCTGGAGTCCTTGTGTGTTTGGAGTAATGACTTAACTTTCTGTAAGCTACCTTTCATACTCCATGGGCAATATTTTTCTACTGTCAATGGGTGCCCATCACAGTGTTAGGGAAGGCTCGGTTAAGCCTGCTTTTGCTGGGAAGGCTACACCTGGGAACCACATTACTGAAGTATGAAATGCGTTTATCTTTTCAGAAATGTCATGTGGAAGTTTCCCAACAGTTGACAATGCCCAAATTGAAGGAAGAAACAAGAAAACATACGAGCCTGGTGAAACTATTCGCTATCAGTGTGATGCTGGGTTCCGGACAGACGGCAATCCAGAAATTATTTGCAGAGCAGGAAACTGGACAGCACCACCTTCCTGCGAAGGTATCGGTTCTACTTGTGAATAGCCTAGGAGCCTCCCTGGTCTCTAATGAAGCTAACGAAAATAACACTGACCCATACAGGCAGGTGAGGCCAGCAGAGCCCAGCAGTGACCTGCCTGCAATTCCTGCTTCAAGCCTTCACTTCTGGCTCCTGAGAAGCGGCGAGCAAGAGAGTTCAGCAATGATTGCTATTGGAGGGCCAAAAGCTTGCTGGTCCTACTGTGTGCACTGCTAGGATAAGTAGAGAGGGGGTTATGGAGAAAAGGACATTGGCTGCAAAGAATGAGATGGCTGGTAGGATAATAGACTGCATTTGCACTTCACAGGGAAGACGAATTTTTAGAAGTAACTTCACACAGTAAACAAACCATTCTTCAGCCATTTGATCCACCCTGCAATAGAGCACCAGTCTGATCATTTGGCCAATCTCTGCAACTCCTTGTCTCTTTTTAGTCAGCACAGGGAAAGAAAATGTTGCGTGAGGTAAACAGTTGTTGCTCATGAAGAATAATGCTGTTTCTGAAGGCAGCATTCTGTCACAGAGATACTGCTGTGCTCTGATTTTTTAAATTCTCTTCTCAGATGTTACCTGTAAAGACCTACCTAAAGTTCATGGGGCTTCTATTGCCAGCAGTCAAGCCAAGAGGTATCTGCCTGGTGCCAGGGTGCAATATGAATGTGAAACCAACTTCCAGATTGTAGGTGTAAATTATATCATTTGTACAAATGGCCAATGGTCCCAACCACCAACTTGCAGAGGTAGGAGGTTGTACTTTCATCTTGCCTGTTAGCATAGAGGGACTGTGTTTTTTACCTGAATATTAACATGACTTTTTATCTTTTTTACTGCTGCCTTCTTTGTGTATCACAAAATTGTGCTTTCTTTTACTGTCTTGCACAGCACTAGAATTTGGCTTAAGGAGATTTTTTTTCTCGCAGTATTTTCTCATCAACAACAACAACAAAAAATAAATCAGCCTGAAGAACCTGGACCTTTAATTGGCCCCCTTGCCACTCTCCCTCGCGATACTCTCTTTCCCAGAAGATGTCCCTCTTTGGAACTTGGTTAGCATGATGTGTAAGGGCTCTTGGATTCTGTTCCAAGCCCTCTGGGACGGTGAACATGGGGGAGAGGAGTAGCTGCAGGAATAGCTGTTCCTCTCCAAAGCTCTGCTCTGACTGATGCCCATCACAGTCGAGACTCCTGAGCTAAAGCGAGTCGATGTCGTGTGGTCAGGCTGAGCTCCTAAGCCGTGTCCCAGTCGGTGGCAGCGGGGGCTCCTTCCACTTCCCACACCTCTGTGGGGGCGCCCCCGGGTGGCTGCCCCGGGGCACTGCGGGGGGCGGAGGGAGAGAGCTCAGTATCAGTGCTGGCAGGGTTTTCAGATGACTGGGGATTCCACTGTAGCCTGTGAGAACGGCACCTGGACGAAGAGGCCAAAATGCACAGGTAGTTCCTCTCTCTCTCTCTCTCTCTTTCTCTCTCTCTCTCTCTTTCTTTCTCTCTTTCTCTCTCTCTCTCTCTTTCTTTCTCTCTTTCTCTCTCTCTCTCTCTTTCTTTCTCTCTTTCTCTCTCTCTCTCTCTTTCTTTCTCTCTTTCTCTCTCTCTCTCTCTTTTTATTCCAAGCCTATGAAAGTGGATCTGGTGTTGCCCATGGCCATAAGCACGGGCAGAGTCCGAGGGCTAAACCGTTACAGGGTGTGACAGTCACCGTGGTTCTAGTTGAGCTCAGAGCTTGCATACAGCACTGCAAGCAGGTTGCCCACAAATGCAGCCAAGTGGCCTCCTGTGCACATGGTGTGCAACGGGTGACAGCTCAGTGAGTGCAGGATGTTGAAGACTGCATTGCAGCCAGGCTGCTGTATGAAGCTGGAAATGGGAGAGCTCTGGTTGCCTGAGGGTGCCTCAGCCTCATCCCCATCAACCCGTGAGGGCTTTTCACGATAGAGGGGCCCTGACAGGAAAAGCAGCAGCATTTCCAAAGAGAGGTAAGGAATTAGGAAGTGCTTGGTCAGAGCAGCAGGCTCCAGGCCAACGAGTCTGTGCTGAGCAGGGCAACATGGGGGAGCTGCCGGAAGAAGCACTTCCCGTTCCCTGCTTCTGAGAAATCAAGCTCTGGGGGTGCAGCCTGTTGTGTAGTCAGTGTTTTAGTACCCCCTCCTTTCCTCGGGGTTTCCTTCTGCACTCAGTTTCCGATGTTACTTCTCTCCCTTCCCTCACTGTTCAGGCAGTAGAGGAAGGAGGTGGGTGCCAGGCTCTTCTGCAGAAAGGGCTGTGCCAAACAGGCTGCGCCATTGCATGGTGCTGGAGAAAGGCTCTCTGGAAGCTCCAGGTGCTTCAGCAATGCCAACAGCATGAACAGGCACCTGTGGGTGCCAGCAGTGGGGAAAGGAGACACTCAGTTTTGCTCGTTTTCGCCCATCAGGTATTTAGCAACAAGGTGTGAAGGTTTCCCCTCTGCTTTCCCCCGCTCCCCCAGAGCAGCACCAGCCTATTCCCTGGCAGCGGGATCTGTGGCCAGGCCTCCCCTGCAGTTAAATCCTGATGACTTTCTCTCCTCTTGACAAATTTCCTTCAAGGGAGAAATGAAAAATGTGGCCCACCCCCAGCGATTGAGAACGGAGACCTTCTTTCATTCCCGCTGCAAGAGTATGCATCAGGTTCAACTGTGGAGTACAAGTGCCCAAGACTCTACGTCCTGGAAGGATCTCCCGTTATTAGATGTGTTGGGGGGCAGTGGACAAATCCCCCAGTTTGCTTAGGTGGGTTGAAGTGTCTGCGGTGTGGCAGAAATGGGGGCGATTTCTCTTCTTGTCCTTTGCTCCGACTCTGAGGCTCGAGTGTGACCCTGTGTGAGGGGTCTCCATCAGGGTACAGGGCTCCTGAGTGCACTGGAGCCGGGGGCAAAGCTGCGGTCAGAGGGCTCTGAGAGGAGAAGATGAGTGTGTGTGCCTGGCGGGCCCGGGAAGCCAGCGGGGACAGGTTCATTGCTGCCTGGCAACTTCCCCCACCCGCCAGCTGTGGTTGGATCCTGGCCTGTGTGCGTGTCAGGGCAGAAAGACCTCTCCATAGCTCTGCCGGTGTCTTAGGCATGGTCGTGTTTCCCTGGGGCTCTGGAGTGCTCCCCTTTTCAAGTGGCTTGTACAGCATCTGAAGAGGACATGAACAGAAACAACATTGAGCTGAGATGGATCGCAAGGAGCAAGCTGTATGCAGAATCTGGTGATTTTATCGAGTTTGAATGTAAAACTGGATATGAGCGGGACCCAGCATCTTCTCCATTCAGAGTACAGTGTGTACAAGGGACGCTAGACTATCCCCATTGCAAGCCGGGAAGTAAGTCACCTGCAAGTCGGCCACTGCTTCTCTGTTGTTCTCCTGCATTTTGCTCTGGGCTGCTGAGAAGAAAGTCCTTAGGAAGTGACACCAGGGAAAGAATGGGAGAGGCCCAGGGTGAGGGAGCTCCCTGTAAAGTTGTGGGCCATAGTGGGGAGGGGTGCCCTATAAGACACCCAGAGGACAGGTGGGGCATTTCTTGGATGCTCTCCATATTCTTTACAAAAAAAGGCCTCTTTCTTTTCCCATGGGGGAGTCTATGGAGGAGGGGACCAGTTCCTCGCTGACTCTTCCATACCTGCCTGCTTGCACAGCCCTTTCTCCCAGTGGGCTTCTCTCCTCCTTGGCAGCTCCTGCTATAACTGCTTCTGCCCCATCCGGCCTTCCCAGCCCTTCAGGGGCATCTCAGTACAGATGCTTACACTAGCCTCGCCCTCGAGTTCCCTCAAAGCCCAGGCACTGCACAGTGCAGAAGGTGAGAGCTGAGCACTTGCCCTTCATCGCCTTCACTGTGTGTTATTGGAGGTGGGGGCAGTCGTGGAAGGGTCCCTGTGCCAGTGGCAAAGAAACGTGTGGTGCCCAGGTGAGTTAGGATGGCCGGGATAGCCTGAGGGAAGCGGGAGGCTTTTCCTCATGACTGTCCTGCTGTTCTCCCTGCAGTATTTGCTCCCACAATCAGGAGGGAAGACTGCTATGGATGGAAGTCTTGGGGCAGTCAATAGGCAGCTGTTTAGCATCAGAAGAGCAGTTGTCCAGCATAAGTTCTACAGTCCAATAACAAATGGTCTTTTTTTTTTCCAGAGACATGCACGGTGCGTGAGAGTGATATGGAGCAGAACAATATTCAGCTAGCACCAAGCCAGTTGCGGCATTCTACCTTTCTTGCCGGGGAATATATTTATTTTGAATGTAGATGGTGGCATGCAAAAACTTCAAGAGATGAGGACTTTAAAGTCCAGTGCTTGGATGGAGTTTTCAAGTACCCTAGATGCCACTGTAAGTCCTTCATAATAACAACCATGACTTGGTTGCCTGCCAGGCTGTGAGGTCTTTCTTTTTCGTTAGGCAGAAGACAAAGTCGAGCTGAGAGAGTCCCTGGGTGCCCCTTCACTGGCAGAGGCCCATGGCTTGGTGGGAAAGAGCACTGGCAGTGCTTGGAGACACAGGGTGTGTGAGGAGGCCTCAGCCCCTTGCTAACTCAACAGGAGCATCAACAGGGGTGACACTACGGTCATGCTCTTGGCAGCCTGGCCAGGTCTGTGTGGAGTAGCAGAAGGTCAGCTGAGCTTTGAGATGCGGTGCTTCCAGAGAGAGAAGCTGGGCTCCCATTCCCGCACAGCCCGGCACCCTCAGGGCTCTGGGGCATCCGGCTGCTCCCTCAGTGGTGCCAGGTCGAGGGGCCCTGTCCTGACCTGCCTGCGGGCTGCTCAGCACAGAGTCCCGTATGGTGCACCCCAACCGGGGTTGCTGCAGAAGGGGTAACTTGTGTTCCTTGCTGCTGGGGCTTGTGTCTCCATGAAAGAAGGGCCCTTGTCACCGACCTTCCCCACATACTGTGGCCACTCTGAGCTCTTGTGTTGGCTTGTTCAGGCCTTTGGGGAATGGGGATTTGTACTTGGCCATGGGAGGAGAGGACTGCAGTTTCACTGGAGGTGTCGCAGAACTCCTGTGGGTTGCGGCAGCAAAGAATCCACAGGGGAGCAGGTTTGGGTTCCTTTTAGACACAAGGACAGGACTGTGTCCCTCACTGAGCTTCTCCTGTTGAGAGGGGCCTGGGAACTGGGCTCTTCCCTTTCCAAGCCAGCTGAACTCACACAACGTGAAGAGCCGGCACCTCTGCTGAAATGCGCTCTGGATCACTGTGAGGAGGCACTGCCGTGCGCCTGGCTTGGTGTTCACTGCTTCTCCCCTTCTTTCTCTTCACTCCGCAGATAGATTTGGATAAACCCAAGTGACATGAAGACGCCCGGCTGCAGAAATGAAAGATGCCTCCAGTGACACTGTTGTTAGCCTTCCATCTACACAAAATGTTCTGTTTCCGTCTCCCAGCTTAGTGTTCTGCATGAGAATTCCTAGTATTTTCTGCTCTTCAATATTGGTTGATTGCCTTTGCATTTCCTTTATGACCATTCCATATTGCTTTCATTGCCACTTTGTCGAACTCTTATGTCCTGAAAAAGGCTGTCTTTGGTGGCCTTCTGAGACAGGAATTAAAGCCTGCAAGTAATTGCCTCATTAGCAAGCTGAGTGTGTTTGGCCTTGTCTGTTCCGAGCTGGTGCTCCATGCAGCTCCCCGGAATTACCCTTGTGCTGTGACTCAAGATGGGGACGGGCAAGTGACTGGATTTCTGAGAGGTAGTGGGGAGTGAGGTGCTTGGTCCAGGTTCAGCCTGGGCCAACCTGAGGTAACACACATCTGCCCAGGTAGTTCACAAAGAAGAGACTGGGCATGTGGTGACAAGCGTCAGCCTTGGCTGTAGAGGGCCCATGACATAGAGGAGCTTGAGGCCCAAGAGGGGATGAGGAAGGCAAGAAGCAGAGTAGAGAGCATGGCCTTTGGGAGAGCAGCTTTTGGCTTATTGAGGAATTGAGTAGGTGGGATTCACATGGGAGTCAGCTCTGTGGGGTGAAGCAGCTCAGGAGAGCTGGCAGGGCTTTAAGGTCAGGACTTTCCAAGCACAAGAACACCCCATTCTGATGCTCCTGCTCCTGATGGGCAGCAGTACGTGGAGACCAGTAAGACCAGGGAACTTGTGACAGGCCTCCTGTGCAGCAAAGTCAGTCGTAAGTGGGAGGTTCAGGACTTTCCAAGCACAAGAACACCCCATTCTGATGCTCCTGCTCCTGATGGGCAGCAGTACGTGGAGACCAGTAAGACCAGGGAACTTGTGACAGGCCTCCTGTGCAGCAAAGCCAGTCGTAAGTGGGAGGTAGTACCAGGGACAAGTGTGAGGATGCATTGTCGGTGGCATTGCCTAGGTGTGTGGGGATGGTGTTAGGAAAGACAAAGGTCAGCTTGAGATGGCTGCTTGCAAGGGAAATCAAGGGCAACAGGATCCCCTAAGCCAGTACAGTCACAGTAAAGGGGTAGAGCAGAAAGATGTGTCCTCTGACTAAATCAGTTGGGTTATGCATGGCAGCATGCAGTGCAGTGCCATGGCAGTGCCTGCCTTTGGGCCTCAGCATTCACCAACAGTGTGTTGTGGTTTGAAAGCCATGGTGGTGGAGAGGGAGACATCAAATACTGTGTTAGGTATACATCCGACTCTGGCAATATCAGATTCATGAACACTGTCCACTGTAGGTCTCATCGCCTTCCAAGGAGCGAATCGAGTTCCCCAATAGTATGATCAATTATAAGCTCGACTGCCATTATCAGATTCACCACCAGTCTGTCAACTGTTGGTCCAATTGCTTTCCAAACAGTTAGTCAAATTCAGGAATAGCATGATTTATTCCAATGCAACTTTTACAAAGCAGGTTTCAGCTGTCAATACAGGAAGTTCTCTACCACAGTGTGAGTTTTTAGTTAGCTCTGATGTACCAATGTGCAATCATCACTCACCCCAGAAGATGGGCCAGGGCTGTCACAGTCTCGAGTTTCCTCAGGCAGTGTTCCAACCCGAGGAAAGGGGGATCAGCACATCGACTGATGCAAAATTTATGATGGAATCTTCCATCTCCTCTCTTTCCTGCTTAGTTTACCTTTTATACCATTTCTTTACATTCAGATGGAGCTTGAGTGACTATAGACATACTTGTTATTGATTGGTGAAAAAGTTTCTCACTTTCATTTAAAGGTATAGTCAATCAAACATCTGGAGGACATGCTCAGTGGGGAGTGATTGTCCCTTGAACGCGAGTAACTTTTGGGATGGCGGTGTGTTTTGACATTTTAATGAGCTTATAATGAGCAAAGTTCAAGCTAAGTTCATTCAAAAGGAGTGATTTGCTAGCTCAGTACCGAACAGCTTATCGTATATCTCCCATTTTGGGCAGCCACTGTGCGGCTTATCAGCGGCCCAGTACAGGGAGTAACAGAGTTTGGCCGCGGTGTCTTCATGCTGCTGCATCCTCCATTACTCCCCTTTGCAGCTGCGAGGAGGGCAGATTGTGTCGCCTAGGGAACCGTGGAGTCATAGAGTCTGTGCCTACCAACTATCCTGGAAATGGCAACTGTGTATCATCCCAAGCAAGCTTCTGCAATGCTAAAACTTCTGTTAGGCCTAGTTTTCCATATGTTTCTTCTTTTCAAGCAATTCTTCCGCACAGGGTTGTGGAAGAATTGTTTGAAAGCAGGAACTGAGAGGGCTGCGTGTGCTCCCGGGACACCTTTCTGGGCACATAAAGGAGAAAAAGGTCATGGACAGCAGCATTAGTGGTCCGAGGAAGGGACCAGTCAGCGTGGGTTTGCCTCAGCAAGTCTTGTGTGAGCAACTAGCTTGCTGAAGTGACTGGAGTAGTGGGCAAGGGAAGAGCAGGGGATGCCGTTTGCCTCAACTCTGTCAGGGCTTTTGGCTTCCTCCCAGTTATAGGCTGCAGGAGTCTGTCTGGGCACCCATCCTGTTGAACATCCTCATCGAGCTGAGGGATCAGGGGAATGGTGGAGGAACCGACAGGAGCCCAGTGCAGGGCAGCACTGCTGACACTGAGGAACATCCCTGTGCTGGGGCACGGCCTTTGCTTCGAAGGGCACAGTGCACTCATAGGGCAAGGACAGCCCCTGCTTGTGTCCCCAGCCATTGAGTTCATTTACCACCTTTGAAACTTGTAAACTCCGTGGCGTGAGTTTTTTTTTTTCCATAACTCCTGACAATGCATTTCAAAGCAGGAGTGATAAAGGTATTTGCAGTCATTGCTGTGCAAAGGTGGGACAGCCTAATCAGCCCACCCACAGCCTAATCAAGACTGCTGAGAAGTGTCTACCTAGAATCCTTTAAAATCAGTGATACTCTTTGTTGGACCAGGACTAATGGGTAGGGCCACATTTAATAACATTTGGCTTACACATTTGACGGTAATGATAGGAACAGAAGAGGAGCAGGAATCTCTTCCCAGGGTGTTTCTTTATAAGATGCTCTTATAGCTCCAAATCACAAAGTGAGAGTGTATTCTCTGATGCCTGTTACAAGAGAAAGTTTAAAAGGCACATCATGTTTGAGTGGTAACAGGTGCATTAGCACTTACTCAGAAGGGTAAATGGGTTTTGCATTTTTTTTTTTTTAATAAACAAGCTTGTTTGTTAACTGAACTATATTCTGTCTCATTCTTGTAAAGAGCTGGAACAAATTGTTCACAGATCTACTATAGTGCACGTCACCTTTGTGACCTTTGTGCTCCTTGGTTAGTGTTTGGAAGGTTAGTGTTTCTTTTTCTGAAAAATGAAATGCAGACTCTAGGATGAATGGTACCCTGTGCAATTTCATTTAGATACTGTGCTCCCATTTCTTCCATCTCATGGAAATGGTAAACACAAAATAAGATTCTGACACTAACCAGCTTGGTGTAACTATTCCAGCCCTTTCCTTCCATGACATGGGGGTGATGTGGGAACCCTTCACATGCTAGTTCTAAACATGACCAGAAAGGAGCTGCAACTACACACAGCTCTTGCTTATCCGATGGAGCCATTGGCAGTAGTATGGCTGCCCATAGCAGTTAACTGATGGCAGATATGCCAAGTTCTATGTCATTCAAGCATTCACTTGCTGCTGAGCTTTCACCTCAGTCATCTGCAGTTCCTATTTCTTCCAAACTACCATTTGCCAGCTGTATAATTGCTAACAAAGCAGTATTTCTCTGAAGGCGGATATGGTAAACAACTATACTTTGGGAAGAATGTGAGCAAACAGGATTTGGTTTCCTAATGTAATGGGGAAGTCTACTGAGGAATATATCTAAAATAAAATAAAGGGTTCCTTCTATGTCTGCTACGATTTGTTTTTTTTTTTTTTCTGAGAAAAGGTATGCTTATGTACCACAACATTTCAAGATAA